GGAACAAAAAGGTTCTATTTCCTTCTGTCCCCCATATTATCTTTTAAAGAAGTTAGATAAATGTGCTACATTTTTATAAAGGTTTATATGCAGACTGATTAAAAATAAGGTTTAACATTTGAAGGGACTGCTTTCTTTTTATGTTAACATTCATTTGCAGAGGATTCCTCATGTCTCTAGGATGCCAGCTGAAGAGAAATACCACTCTCTCCAATTATGTTTGTTTCCCCAAGTATTTTCTGTTGTTGGCCTGTGACAGATCTCCAGGAACAAGAAACTTCTAACTGACAGGGAGAGTGATGCAGCTGTGAGTCACCTGGAGATGTACCTTTGAGTTATCGACAGGGTGAAGATGAGTGTTTCAGACATCTGTCTTAGACGTCTCCCACCTCTTCTGAATGCATCTAAATCTGCATAGATTGGGAAGGTCTCTGTAAGGCATAAAGCCCTGAAAGACAGATGTTCTTGAGAAACCAGGGATTTCATGGTGCGGAGAGATTGCCACGTTTGATTTGCTTCTGTGCTTATTTTTACTTAGTTATTTTTCTTATGGTTTTGGGGGAGGACTTCAAGAGGAAAGGCTTGGTTAATCAAAATCCTCTTTCAAAGCCCATTTTCATTGTTGGACCACACAAGGCCCCTCTTTGGCTTTTATGTCAGTATATTTATGGCTGTCTCTATTTACTTACTCCCTTTATCTTCCTTTCCTCCCCTCAGAGTCAGTCTTTATAATGTGTTTGATGCTTATCTTTGGATTTATATTTCTCTGTAAAACATACAGAATCATTTTATGTGCTAATTTATTTCAAGTGATGTAAATGTGCGGTAGATCTTATTCTGTTTTTTATTTTTTCATGCAGTGCCATCTTTAAAAAAAAAATTGATTTATTTGGCTGCTTCAGGTCTTAGATGTGGCCCTTGAGGTCTTTGATCTTCTTGCGGCATGTGGGCTCTAGTTTCCTGACCAGAGATCGAATCTGGGCCCCCTGCATTGGGAGGTGTAGTCTTAGCCGCTGGACCACCAGGGAAGTCCCAGTTCTGTCTTTTTAAGATCCCCTCACATTGCTGTTCCTATATCCAGTTCGTTGCCCCTTACTGCTGTGTAATAGTCTGCGCATGTACCATGGTTTACAGATCCCTTCCCTAAAAATAACATTGATGTGATTGCCTGCCCCTGTGATTGGTGCTGTAATGAACAGTCTCATGGGTGACTGTTAGGACTTATGCAAGTGTTGCTGTGGGAGTATTTTCCCAGGAATAGGGTAGTTGGGTCGTGGGATGCCTATTTCATCTGACTGCCAACTGTTCTCCAGAATGACTTGCCCTATCTATGCCTCTACCAGCAATGCATGAGAATATTTTTATTCATTTACCACCCGTTGGTATAGAGCATGGTGGCTCAGCTGGTAAAGAATCCGCCCGCAATGTGGGAGACCTTGGTTTCAATCCCTGGGTTGGGAAGATCCGCTGGAGAAGGGAAAGGCTACCCACTCCAGTATTATGGCCGGAGAATTCCATGGACTGTATAGTCCATGGGGTTGTGAAGAGTTGAACATGACTGAGCAACTTTCACTTTCACTTTCTTTCCAGCTTTCTGATTGTTTATTCAAATTGATACACATAAAGTGGTATTTTTACCATTTTAATTTGCATTTCCCTGGTTTCTAATTAATTTAAGTATCTCCTTGTATATTTGCTAGCCGTTCAGGTCTTCAATTCTTTGAACTGTAATTTAAGCCCTTTGGAAGTTTTCTGTGGGGGTTTTCTCTTTCTTACTAATTTGCAAAAGTTCCTGTTTGACCTAAGGTTCTCAAACTTTAGTGTGCACAGGAATCATGTTAAGATACACATTATAGTTCAGTAAGAGTGGGGTGGGACTTAAGGCTGTGCATTTCTAATAATAAGCTCCCAGATGATGCAGAAGCCTGTGGTCCTGAACCACAATGTGATTACCAAGGTTCTACGTGTTAGTTTGGGGGCTTCCCAGGTGGCTCAGTGGTAAAGAATCCACCTACCAATGCAGAACACGTGGGTTCAATTCCTGGGTTGGGAAGATCCCCTGGAGAAGGAAATAGCAACCTGCTCCAGTTTTCTTGCCTGGGAAATCCCATGGACAGAGGAGCCTGGCGGGCTACAGCCCCTGGAGTTGCAAAAGAATTGACTCGACCTAGCGACTAAAACAACAATGTTAGTTTGAGGCTTTGAGAAAATCAGTCCTTCCAAAGTTGTCAAGTGTATGTCAGCTTTGTTTGGATTTAATATAATCAAACACATCAATGTTTTGCCTTGTGATTAGTGCTATTTGGGAGCTATTTAATCCCTGGTTCACAGTGATTTTCTTCTCTATTTTTCTTTTTTAACTTTGTACTTTCATTTCACATTTAAGGATTTAAATCCATCTGAAGTTACCTTTGTATTAGGTATAAATTAGGTAATCAATTTTAATTTTTCTCCTTATAATGAGCTTGCTTTCTTAGACTCAGTAGTTCATTGTTTCTCTATTGATTTGTGATACTACTTTTGTCTTATTTTAAGTTCCCAGGTACACATGTGTGTGTCTGCTCTCTGCTTTCTATTCTGTTTCCTTGGTTCACATGTTTATTCCTATAAGAGTATTGCACTATTTTATATTTATAGCTTTGAAGTATGTTTCAGTATTTGGAAGAGTAACTCTTCCACCTGTTGTTCTTTTTCAAACATGACTTAGATATTTGTGAATCTTTATCCTTTTAGAGAAATTTTAAAATAAATTTCTTAAATTCCTCAAAACTCTAACTGAACTTTTGAATGGAATTGTGTTGACTTCAGAGATTAATTTGGGGGAGTAGTGATAGTTTTACAGTTTTAAGTTTTCTCATTTGTAAACAGGGATATTTTGCTATTAATTCGGATCTTTCATGTTTTTAAATAGAATTTAAAGTTTTTCTCCTTAAAGTCTTCTGGATTGCCTGAATTATGTTAATTACAAGTACTTTTCATTTTTGTCATTTTTGTCGCTCTTGAGAACAATATTTTCTGTTATGTTTTCTAGTTGATTATTTTTGATATAGAGAAATATTAATAATTTTTGTAAGTTGATCTTATATTTTATGTTTCCTCCATGTCTTTTCATGACTTGATAGCTCATTTCTTTTTATCACTGAATAATATTACATGATATGGATATACTACAGCTTGTTTGCCCATTCACCTACAGAGGGATATCTTGGTTGCTCTCAAGTTTTGGCAAATATGAACAAAGCTGCTATAAACACTCTTGTGTAGGTTTTTGTGTAGATATAAGTTTTCAACTCATTTGTGTAAATACTTAGGAACACAATTACTGGATCATATGGTAAGAATATGTTTAGTTTTATAAGAAACTGCTGAACTATCTTCCAAAGTAGTTGTATCATTTTGCATTCCCACCAACAATGAATGAAAGTTGCCATTACTCCACATCGTTATCAGCATTTGATGCTGTTAGTTTTGAATTTTAGACATTCCAACAGGTGTGTAGTAGTATCTCATTGTTGTTTTAATTCTCTAATGACATATGGTGAACATCTTTCATAGACTTATTTACTGTTTGTATGTCTTCTTTAGTACAATGTCTGCCTAGACCTTTTGCACATTCATAAATGGGGTTGTTTGTTTTCTTATTGCTGCGGTTTAAGGATTCTTTGTGTATTTTAGATTAAAGTTCTTTGTCAGATATATATTTTGCAAATACTTTTCTCCCAGGCTGTGTTTTATATTTTTATTCTTTGAAGTGTCTTTTGCAGAGCAGCAGTTTTTAGTTTTAATAATGTCCAACTTACCAATTTTTAAAAACTTAATTAATTTTATTTATTTATTGGGTCTTTGTTGCTGTTTGAGGACTTTCTCTAGTTGTAGAGAGTTGGGAAGCTACTCTCCAGTTAACAGTGCAGGGACTTCTCATTGTGGTAGCTTCTCTTGTTTCAGAATATGGGCTCTAGTAGCTCTAGTTGGAGCTGACAGACTCTAGAACTTGGGCTCAGTAGTTGTGTCACACAGGCTTAGTTGCTTCACGGCATGTGGAATCTTCCCAGACCAGGGATTGAACCTGTATCCCCTGCATGGGCAGGCAGATTCTTATCTACTGGACCATCAGGGAAGTTCTACCAATTTTTATTTTCTTAGATTATGCTTTGATGTTATATTAAAAAAACTCATTGCCAAGCATAAGGTGCCTTAGATTTTTTTTTTCTTGTTTTCTTCTGGAAGTTTTATAGTTTTGCATTTTATAGTTTTACATTTATGTGTAAGATTCACTGTGAGTTAAGTTGGTGAAAGACATAAGGACAGTGTCTTGATTAATTTTTTTTGCATTGGATGTTCAGTTGTTCTAGCACCATTTTTTTTTTTTTAAGAGTATTCTTCCTCCATTGAATTGCTTTTGCTCCTTTGTCAAAGATCAGCTGACTGTATTTGTGTGGGTCTACTTTTGGGTTCTGTAATAGTTCCATTGACCTGTTTGTTTATTCTTACACCAGTGTCACAATCTTGATTACTGTGGCTAGTTTTTAATTTATGTTTTATACCTTTGTACTTCTAAAAAAGGATTTCAGAGAGATTGTAATTTCAGTTACACTGAAAACAAGGTAATTTAAATAGAAAGAAAAAAATGTAAAAAATTACATTATTGATCCTTCTGGCAGTGGCTCCATTCTTTTCAAAAACTAGAATATTCAGAAATATTACAGTAGAGTATGGATAGACCTCAAGACTTTTTACCTGATGTTATTTATCTGATAATGTTAAAAATTATTTTAGTTTAGAGAGAAAAATTCTGAGGTTAGATTATCCTTATGTTTTCCTGTGAGTTTGTGGTGATCAGTTACTTAGTTAATATTGCATTAGATAGTTACATACATTTTGTTGGAGACATCTTAACATCTTAATACTTTAGCTATTTTAAGAATTGAACCAGCAACAAATCTTGTTGAAATATGCATAGTTGCAAGTCTGACCACATTTTTTGGATTTTTTTTTTTTAGGTCAATGATGCCTTTCTTCATGTCACACAGCGTAAATCCACAGGCAAGGTGCTTCTCTCCCTTAAATAAATTTTCACTTCAGCAAACTCAGCATGTCTAAATCCAAACTCATCATCTTTCCCAAAAAACCTGATTTCCCTTCCATGTTTTTTTCCCATATTACCACATTCCTTATTAATCCAGTTTCAAGATCTTTTAGAGTCATCTTTTATTCTGTTTTCTTATTTCCTGATAGTGTGATCATGTACTTTATTGTCCAGACTTGGACACAGTTGAGAGTGAAAGACTGCTATTAGTGATTACACCAGGAGAACAGGTGTCCCAAGATGTATGATCACCTATTCAAATACATCCATGGCCAAGTTCTGTCATCTCCACCTCTAAGAAGTCTTACCTCCATGGAAATAGAACTGCCATATGACCCAGCAATCCCACTTCTGGGCATACACACCAAGGAAACCAGATCTGAAAGAGACACGTGCACCCCAATGTTCATTGCAGCACTGTTTATCATAGCCAGGACATGGAAGCAACCTAAATGCCCATCAGCAGACGAATGGATAAGGAAACTGTGGTACATATACACCATGGAATATTACTCAGCCATTAAAAAGAATTCGTTTGAATCAGTTCTAGTGAGATGGATGAAACGGGAGCCCATTATACAGAGAAGTAAGCCAGAAAGATAAAGACCATTACAGTATACTAACACATATATATGGAATTTAGAAAGATGGTAACGATAACCCTATATGCAAAACAGAAAAAGAGACTCAGATGTATAGAACAGACTTGTGGACTCTGTGGGAGAAGGCGAGGGTGGGATGTTTCAAGAGAACAGCATCGAAACATGTATATTGTCTAGGGTGAAACAGATCATCAGCCTAGGTTGGATGCATGAGACAAGTGCTCGGGCCTGGTGCACTGGGAAGACCCAGAGGGATCGGGTGTAGAGGGAGGTGGGAGGGGGGACCGGGATGGGGAATACATGTAAATCCATGGCTAATTCATTTCAATGTATGACAAAAACCACTGCAATGTTGTAAAGAAATTAGCCTCCAACTAATAAAAATAAATGAAAAAAAAAAAAAAAGAAGTCTTACCTCCACATCCTCTTTTCCATTCTGACTAATCATGTCATATCTGTTAATTCCAGTGACCTCCTAACTCACTTTCCTACCTTTCATCTACCCCCTCTCGCTCCATTCTTGTTATATGTTATTGCCTTGGTGACCTTCCCAAAGTGCAGCTTCAATGGTGTGTTGTCTCAGAACCCCACAGTGGCTCACCATTGTCTCCATGGTGGCGTTCGGACTCCTTGAGCTGGTATTTCACCATGACCAGGACTTGGCCCCTCTCTGCCTTCCAGCCCACACTGGACAGCAGCACTGGTCTCTCAGCGTATACTGAGACCGCTTGTCTCCACCTTCCTCTTCTCAAGCTGTTTCCTCTTCTCCCTTATCTTTGTTACACATAAGCCTTCCTGGCCTCCGAGACCTACTTCTGCCACGAGCTTTCCCCCTCAGGTGGGTGGCCATCTCTTCTCTGCCTTTCTATAGCACCTCCCTCAGCATGTGTCACATTCTGCCGTGTACCAGCAGGAGTGGCATATCTAAAGGAATGAACCCAGGATTCTGAATCCAAGAGGTGGGTTTGAATCTCAGTCTCAGCACATTGGAGGTGGTTACTTAAGGTCTTCAAGCTTTCGTTTTCTCCTGAAAAGTGGATATTATCGTCTCCTCCTCACGAAGTTATTCTGAGCAATACTTGCAGTGATTGGGCAAAGCACCTGGCACACAGTAGGTGATTAGCACTTGCTAGTTACTTTTACTTCTTTCTTTCTTCCTTTCCCAAGGGAGCATAAGTTCCTAGAGAGCAGGTACCATGTCTGATTCACCTTTGTACCACACACACACCTAGCACAGTGAATTACCCTTGAACTGAACTGAATTTGAATGATCTGAAAGTCTTAAGTTGTGGGATTAAGTTAAGAATATGTTACTTTGGGAACAACCCAAATGTTCACCAACAGACCAATGTATATACATACAATGGAGTACTATTCAACCTTGAAAAAGAAGGAAATTCTGACACATTCAGAACATGGATGAACCTTGAGAACATTGTGCAAATTGAAGTAACCCAGTCCCAAGAGGCCAAATACCATTTAATTCCACTTATGTGAAGTACCTAGAAATGTCAGATTCATAGAAACAGAAAGTAGAATTGTGCTTGCCAGGGCCTGGGGGAGGAGGAAATGGGGAGTTATTGTTTAATGGGTCTAAAGTTCCAGTTTGGGAAGAGGAGAGAATTCTGGAGATGAACAGTGGTGATGGCTGCACAACAACGTAAACATAGTTAATGTCACTGACCTGTACACTTAAAAATGGCTAAAAGGGCAAATTTCATATTGTATGTATTTTACCAAAATAGAAAAGAATATATTATCCCCACATCTAAGTGACTTTATTCAGAGAAGAGAGCAGAGAGTAAGGAGAGTGACTAGCTTAGGTTGAAGGATGCTCCTGTCTCTGCCTGAGTCCTGATCTTTGGGGAGAGGTCTTTCTTTTTTGGTTATAAACATTGTTCTCCAGTCCTCCTGATCACCACTCAAAAGGAGGGGAGTAAGGTGGGGGCAAAAACACATACCTGATACCACTGGAAGGTAGGTACTTCTACTTGTTCTTGATGAGCTCCAGTTCCAATAAATGTGGTAAGAAGCCTTGTTTTCTTTTTCTAACCACTTAGCAGAAGTTAAAAAAAAACAAAACCATATAAGACGCTGTTGAAGTATGCTTACAGACAGGTATGATACAATCATTAAACCAGGCAGTGAATTGACAACTAGATGAAACAGACAAATTGCTTGAAAGATGTAAAATAATAAATTCAGCACAAGAGACAGAAAATTGGAAAGGGGCTTTGTTTTCTAATAAATATCCAGGCCATTAAAAAACACCCATCTTCTCAGGGTTTCCTCATCAAAAAGCTTTTGGAAAAATTGAATTACAAAATAGAAAGTGAACATTTAGGGAGAGAATTTAAAACTGAGAAATTAGCAGAAGGAAGGGGGAGGGGGATGAGACGAGGGGCCCACCATGTGTTTGTTGTGGGCCCACGTGGAGCTGCCAGGAGAGCCAGAGCTCAAACTTCTTCCATACCTGGCTGCCCATTTTAGTCTCTGGGGGCTGCATGCCCTGTGGTTCCACTGAATGACAAGCCTCTCTTCACCTGCATTCTCCCTACACTTACTTATTCTTAACGTGAGCTAATTTTGTATTTAAAAGTTAGTTTTCAAAAATGTCAAGACACCAATTTTAGAACTTTCTGATACCCTTTGGGATAATTGAAAGACTTGCTGGATAGATCCCAGGAGAGAAGGAAGACAAATCAGGATTGAGAAAAGTGTACAACCTCTCCCCCTCCCCCAGGCAGCTCCCTTTCCCACTGTTCAGAGCTGATCAGTAGATGTCACTAGTAATAAAGATCGATTGTCCCCAGCTCACTAATGTCAAAGTGACTTAGATTGAAAGAGGCAGTCATTGAGGAGAGTGAGTTTCTTCAGATTTCACAAGTATTGGTTAGAACCCCCAATGACCTGCTGTCTGCTTGCCTGTGTTCCTGCTTCACTGGAATGATTTGATTTGAAAGCATTTGACTCACGTTTTAGTCATCGTTTGGTTGTTCCACCATCTGAGCCATTAGTTAGTCTGAAAAAAGAATCAGTGCAGCTCCAAGTGACAGCATTTCTTCTATATTCACAGACTTTCCTCAGCTCCCCATTGTAGGCTGGCTGCTGAAGAAATCACTCCCACACAGTTCCCTCTTCTTTTTCTCTAACTGTGGCTCTATCCACCTGCACACACTTCTTTCAACAACAGAAGTGGGATTTTGTGCTGTTAGCCATGGGATAATCCTGTCTGCATATCACCCGTGTATTTGTCCCTGCTTCTTCCTCTGCAGTCTGCATGGCTATAGAAAGCTATCTTTTCTGTTGGAACTATGGTTGTTGTCAGTCGCTAAGTCATGTCTGACTTCTTGCGACTGCAGGGACTGCAGTACACCAGGTTTCCCTGACCTTCACTATCTCCTGGAGTTTGCTCCAACTCATGTCCATTGAGTCAGTGATGCCATCGAACCATCTCATCCCCTGCCACCGCCTTCTCCTACCCTCAATCCTTCACAGCATCAGGATCTTTTCCTGAGTTGGCTCTTAGCATCAGGTGGCCAAAGTATTGGAGTTTCAGCTTCAGCATCAGTCCTTCCAATGAATATTCAGAATTCCTTTAGGAATTCTTTGGACCATAAAGAAGGCTGAGCACTGAAGAACTGATGCTGGAACTATGGTAAAGACAACAAAAGATTTGTTCTTTGCCAAGTAAAAGAAAATAAAAGTATTTACACAGAGTCACTTTTATTTAAAACCCAAACTAAGTAAACTAAGAAAAATCCACATTATTATTTCTTTCTCTTATTTGCCTTCCAAGATTGTATAACTGGATCAAGAGCAGTGATTTTTCAAAATGTTTATTGTTTATGCAGGTCATGTGAGGGAAGGGAATGGTTGTATATGATGTACATCTCATTATGCACTTGTTCAATTGCTAAGTCATAGTCGACTCTTTGGGACCTCATGGACTATAGCGTGCTAGGCTCCTCTGTCCTTCCCTATCTCCTGGAATTTACTCAAATTCGTTTCCACTGAGTCAGTGATGCTATTTAACCATTTCATCCTCTGCTGCCCCATTCTCCTTTTCCCTTCAATCTTTCCCACTATCAAGGTCCTTTTTCAGTGAGTCAGCTCTTCGAATGAGGTGGCCAAACTATTGGAGCTTCAGCAACAGTTCTTCTAGTGGATATTCAGGGATGATTTTCTTTAGGATTGACTGGTAGCAGTTATTGAAAAGAATGACACAGGGACTTCCCTGATGATCCTGTGGCTGAGACTCCATGCTCCAAGTGCAGGGGGCTTGGGTTTGATCTCTGGTCAGGGAACTAGGTCCCACATGCTGCAATTAAAGATTCCATGTGCCAAGCTGAAGATCAGCTCGGCAAGCTGAAGTTGGTGAGTGCTGCAACTAAGACCTGGTGCAGCCAAATAAATCAATAACAAGAAAAATCAGGGAAGACGAGTATGTTAGGACCCTGTGACAAAGTATGGTGAGTAAAAGGGGTTGAACAAAGGCTAGTGGGACTGGAGCCTAAGAAATGAAGGCGGGTGTTGTGGGATGAGGCTTCAGGTGGGGCCAGGTTAGGCACTGCTGGTGGGTCAGTTCTGGGTGTTTTGCCTTTACACTACAGGCAGTGAGATTCCATTGAAGTGTTCTAAGCACGGGTTGGGAAGGGATGGCATGACTAGACGGGCATAGTCTATAACGGGCAGGAACGATTGGAGAGGAGGAGACCAATTAGGAGT